TCGATTGAAGATGAAATTCCTTTTCTGCCGCATAAGAGATCTTGCACTTAGATATGTCCTAATTTCTCCTTTGTAAAATGGTAATAATAGTATATATACTTTTTGAGTTTCCATAAACACTGGATGAGTAAATTAATTTGGTACGAATTCAAATGTTATTTAGGGTTATTGTACTATGTTCATGTGTGTAATTTATTTATCCCTTACAATAAGTTTGGCTTCATCTGGTTTCCTCATGCACACAGTTTCTAGGCAAACGCACACAAAAATGCAACAGATGTTGCCAATTGTGTAGCTAGACACCAATCAGAAAACTGTACCAATTAAGTAATTAATTAGCTCCTTTATTCATTCATTGACTCTTTCATTCCTTCAACGGAAAATGCACTGTGAGTGCTGCAGATTGAACGATGAAAGAGCCAAGATCACTTTATGGGCTCATAGCTCGAGGGAGAGACAGATCAAACAAGAAAGAATTGAAAAGCCACCCGAGAAGTGCTCTTATGGAGGCAGGAGACAAGGTTATTGAAAGAAAAGAGAGGGATCCACTTGGTGCCTTTGGAGAAATAAGAAAACCTTCACAAAAGGAGAAACAAAGGCTATTTCTTAGGCCATCAATTCATCCTATAAGCAGCATGGCTTATTTCATGGGAGATTTCTGAAACTCATTTTTTGTAGATGCGAGCTCAGAATCTTAAAGAGCATACTTCCCCATTCCAGGGCACTAATCATGAAAATGCAATACAAAGCTCTCAAAAGCAAGTGGCTTCGGCATTCATTTGAATGCATGACAGAGCTTTTTAATGTTTACCTTCACATTTTGGATGTATGAGGCAGGTATTATTCAGAAGTGCATAACCCTGAGCTTGTTTGGAAGACTCAAGTGACCGTACAGGACAGAGCAGAATTTTCTCTGTAGGTTTCCAAGGCTGCCAATACTCGCGGAAGCAGACTTCCACAGCTTGCCCCACAGAAGGAACAACCAGTTGTCCCTGAACCACTGATCTATTGGTTAGTGGCTGAGTGCTTCAATCACTGCACCACCAAGAGATCTTTGTAATATTACCCCATAAAGTATAAAATCCCCTGGATTGCTGGATTATTTACTTACACCATTTATTATACCATTTACCTAGACCATTTATTATACCATTTCTGAATAATTAGCAATCACCGATCTAGCTATTGTTTAGGTTCATTTTCCTGGACGTGTACTTCCCTTAGGATTTTCAAATGCACTGTGGGTCTCCACTATGGAGTGGACCGCTCTTCAGACAAATACCTTTTCTCAGCTGACATTAGAACTTCCAGTGTCTTGGCTTGCATTTCTGATCAAGAGTTGAATACACCTTTCTATTTCTTTATCTGTCTCTCTGACGCGCCCAATTTTCCCCCCTTGTGTTTCAGGCTTCTCTTTTGAGCTGTCCATTTTCCCCTCAGGAAAATGTGCATTCCTTCGTCTCGTTTGTTCAGATTCAAGAGATCCACAGAGACAAGTCTGCACGTGCGTGTACACACACACACACACAGGAACAGATGCTGAACAATCTTGACTGTTGAGAAACAGGAGCACTTTAGGAGCGACCACTCTTCCTTTCACCTTGTGCCAATTTTCTGTTGTATTTAGGTCTGAACAAAGCATTTAGTGGTGTTGGTTTTAGACTTTCTTGCTTCTATGGATCATTTCCAAGGCAAGGAATGTTGGAAATGTTCTTAGATAACCTATGCTTTGCCAGCCCGTTTTATCACATGGACCCTGGGTTACCCAATCTCTCCCTTCAGCTCCCCTCTCCTCTCCCTCCTCTCTCTATCCTCTTCTATATTTATTTATTTTTGTTGAGTGTTTCAGCCAAAAGCACCCCAAATTCAAGGATAAGCTATTTTAATTGGACAAAGACAGAACAAGAATAGTCATCCTGGAATGAGGGAAACCATGAGCAAGTACCAAGTACAGAGACCCAAATGGAGTCTGCTGATTCAAAGTCATGGACTTCCTTATCTATGATTAGGGGACAAAGAAGTTTACCATCCGATCATGATTGGTGGCAGATCAATTTATTTCTGTTGTAAGTAGGACTAAAATAATGAGGGGCAGATCATGATTGGGGCAAGTACACAATTGCAGATTTAAAATGCCTACAGGATTCTTTCTGGTGCTTGGACCACCTGCCTGTATATGTGTTGGGTGAAGTGTGACTTGTGACTGTGTAGTTCTAAGTTATAGCCATCAGAAGCTACACTAGTAGATAACTATGTCTATTTGGGGCAAAGGGAGCCTTAGTAACATAGTGATCTGACATGTTGGGCTGCGATCCGCAAGATCATCAGTTCAAACCACCTACCAGTTCCTCAGGAGAAAGATAGGGCTTTCTACTTCAGTCTCGGAAACTCACAGGGGCAGTTCTACCCTGTCCACTAGAGTTACTGTGAGTTAGTATCGAGGTTTTTTTTTGTTTTGTTTTTTAATGTGGGATTTTTTAAGGTCATGCTCAGACAAATCCCCTAGTTCTCAATGCAACTCTGAGTGTAAAACTAGCCTTACTTAGGCAGTCTACTTTCTTATTAATTTATTTATATAGTTTGGGGGCAATCTACCTTCAAACATACTTTTCCTGAAAGCCAATTGAAAGTTGCTGGGTAATGGTTACAAAGAATTCAAGTAGAGGTTGAGTCTATGTCAAGACTGAACGTTGGGACTCCCAGGGTAGACCACTTGCTCCCTCATGGCCCTTGAGTTGATTCCAACTTATGGAGACTCCACAGGACAGAGCAGAGCCATCCTGTGGTTTCCAAGGCTGAAAGTTTAACAGGAGCTGAAAGCCCCCTCTTTCTCCAGTGCAGCAGCTGGTGGGTTGGAACTACTATGCCACTATCAACCACAGCCTTCCCCAACCCTGTGCTGCAGAATTTTACCAGCTGATGGGATCAATTTGTAGGGATAACATGGTTTTTAATCAATCATTTAATCAATCTAGGTACCATGACTTAACCTTTCTTTAGAAGCACACATCAACGCAACAAGAGCCTTTAATGGGTACATGTGAGGCTACCAACAGCAAGTTAAGCAGTTCAAAACCATCAGCTGCTTCTCAGGAGACAGACTGGGCTTTCTACTCACCAAGAGTTCCACTCCCAGAAACTCACAGGGCAGGGCTATCCTGGACTACAGGACCACTCTGAGTCAGAACCGACTCTATGGCAGTAGGTTTTGGTTCATTCTCCAAAGTAGGCTAAATCTACACACTATCACTGCCACTTTCGAGCTCTGTGGCTGTAAACCAGGACGCTTTCTGCAACTCATCCAACTCATCTTCCCTGTCCATCATATGGGGTTAAACATAATATCTAAGCTTAGGGTTGTTGGAACAATTACATGAGATAAGGGGTAAGGAGTGCTTATCTCTTAATAGTCATCATCCCTCTGGTGTTACTCCACGTGGATGATATATCAGCTCACTAAGAAACACGCAGTAGGTAGATAGGTGGAATAGGCAAAGGTGCAGGAAACATTTTGTTTCCGTTTCTGGCCTAACTGGCTTCCAGGTCCTTCAGATCAGCAATTTCTAAGTCGTTTGAAAAGGACTGGTGCATGTCAACATTTTCTGGGTCCCCAAGTAGGAGTCACCTCCTCTTTGGATTAAAAAAAAAATTTTTTTTTACACTCTCCTTTGACTTCTCCCTAAGTCCCCAAGTAGGAGTCACCTCCTCTTTGGATTAAAAAAAAATTTGTTTTACACTCTCCTTTGACTTCTCCCTAAATGCCCATCTCTAACCTCTTCCAAAACAGGGGAGACTACTTACCTCCGTGGCCCGTTTTCGTAGCACCATGACTTCAGTGGCAATGCTCCATTGCCTTCAATCCCTCCTTGTCCCCGAGGAAACCCCCTGCTCATAACTCACGCCTTCTGCACACCTGTCCCATCCAGTCCACGCCTGTTCTTTATGTTTTACTGGTTCCTTGATTCAAGTACTTACCTCACAGACGAGGACCATTCTCTCCTGATAACTTTTATGTCTCCCCAGCAGAAACACATTGATTCCTCATGGGCAGCCCTGGGCTGGCCCACTGGCACACCTAAGGGACGTTTGTCCTCAGAGAGCGGCTCCACAGCAGGCACAAGGAGGATTTCTGCAGATGTGCCACACGGGTGTGACAGACAGCTATAGCAACCGAGAAGAGAGCTTTTTTGGGATAATTGATAGACTGGACTGCAAGCACTGATCATTCTCCAGCCACTGTCTTAAATAAAGAATAATGTTGTGTTTTAAGGACATTGCAAATTTTTATATTAGGGGGTGGGGGGTGGGAGCCGGAGGAGGGGCTGCATTCTGATCAGGGAGACACTAGTTCCTGGGAAATCCATATTCCAAAAACACGTGTAATACACATAGGCTGTAATCCTTTGATGAACAAATAGTCAGTTTGGGGGTGGTGGAGGTGGCTAAATCGACCCTACCTGATTATTGTACCCACTTGCTAGGAATATAAATGAATACAATGGGAAAAAAAGTGGTTTTAAACATGATTTCTAATATCTGCCCCCCCTCACCCCACGTCAAGGCTGCGTGTTTTATCATTTTAAAAAATAATAATTAATACAGATTTATCCATCAGGGACAACAATCTTGGCACAGGACCTTATACCAGGTTACGTCCTAGGGTTTTCCCCAATTAAATCGAAACTTAAAAAAAAAAAAAGCAACAACCTCCTCTTAGTTTGCTAGCTTGTGGTAGGTCAGTACATGCTCCAACCGCGTATTAAGGTGGACCGCTCTATTTATTGATTGTCCGTGAATCTGCTTAAGGCTCAGGCAATTGTCTGCAGAAGGGGGCGGGCGGGCCATACATGATTGAGGTCATGCGCATCCAGCCAATTTGTAAGCTGATCCCGCCGCCCTGAGCCACCGCAATCCTTAGCATAGGGGCACATTCATGAGTTCCTGTCAAGTCATCTTGTGAAAGGCTGCCTGCTTCCAGCTTGGCTCGGATGTGCAACCTTAATAAAACTCACTGAGGTCTGGGAGAAAATAGCAGATCTGCAGCAGATAGGGTAGAGGAAAGGGTCTAGAATATGTACATGCAGCTGACTGAGGCTGGCTCCACGCTGGACTGTTACAGAGAGGAAACAATAAATCTCAGCTACTATGCAATAAATAGCTCCAGTTTTAACTAAGGGGACGATCACTGCAGTAAAAGAATAATTAATAATAAAAACCAACATTTTGGAACAAAACTTTACAAAATGGCTAGTCTCCTATGATTCTGCTTCCGAAGTGTTGTTGGAGGGGGGACAGTCCAACAAGCCAGCGGTGTTACCTGGAATAAAGAGCTAGGCTAAAGGGCAGAAGAAAGGAGCCCGTCTTGCTGCGAGAGGCACGGAAGGAGCGCGCGGGCCGTACGATGACAGTGTTCCTTTCCCTGGCTGTCCTGGCTGCAGCTCTGACGCCCGTAGGGTGCAGCAACCAGCGCCGGAGTCCAGAGCACGGAGGGAGAAGATATAACCGGATTCAGCATGGGCAGTGTGCCTACACGTTCATCCTCCCGGAGCACGACGGCAACTGTCGGGAGAGCACGACCGACCAGTACAACCCGAACGCCCTGCAGAGGGATGCGCCCCACGTGGAGCCCGATTTCGCTTCCCAGAAACTTCAACATCTGGAGCATGTGATGGAAAATTATACCCAGTGGCTGCAAAAAGTAAGTGATTTCTTTCAGTTTCTAATGTTCTTCCTTTTCCCCCACAGCAGCCAACCAACAACGCTCCAGGGGGGGATGCCTGGGTTTACCTTTTTGCTCCAGGGGGGCAGTGTTTGCAAATGCAAGACAGCTTACTGGGTTTCGCGTCACAGCGGGGAGCCCAGGTTTGCTGGCTTTTGCTAGTTTGTGAAGGGAGGTGGCAGCCCCCAGTGTGCCTGGCAGTGGCATGGTTTATGAGGATTCTGCCTGTCTCTTACAGTGGTGGGAGCTTGGGCAGTCCGATCGTCAAATCCCAACTTTTAAAAAGTGCTTCTTGAGCAAGTGGTTGCAAGGGGGTGGGGGTGGGGAGGTGGGAGCCTGGGGGACCAGTCGTGGCTATACTGGTTTGGGATCAACTGACTTTCCCACCAGAAAGTGTTCTGCAGCTAGGAGGGTTCATCTATAAGACAATACGTTTTTTGTTGTGGTGGTGGTTTAATCTTCAGAAAAATTAGCAGGATGTGAAAGTAAATATGAAACATACAACAACACCTGCGAAAGCCAGAACCTGTGTAAGATGGAAAATTGTCAGCGAAGGGAAAGTCCAATACTTCCCCCTAAAGTAATAGAAGAGCAGCAGGAATGCTGCCTGCCAGAGGCAGATAATTTATGAGACCTGAGAAAACCAGGACTTCTGGTGTTCCGGCTCTCACAGGTTTCACTTCCTAGTCAATGGAAAACTTGTATAAACCGAACAAGCCTTCCAGTAGAGAACTCATCGTTTCAGTAAGTGGCAGAAAAAGAGAGCTTTCTGTCATATTTTTCTCCTGTACTTGAGAAAATCAGTTAAGAAGATAGATTTGGGGGTGAATTCTTCAGGAAGGGGTTGCTTGCCTGTGTTGAAGGGAAATCCTGGTGGTGGCTGGTTCCTTACCACATGCACCTGCCTGTTCAGGTTTAGGTTTGAATGCAGCCTGTAGGCTCAGCTGTGTTCTCTGGGTACCACACGTCACAGGACACTGTAGGCACAGAGATAGTGCCTTTTGGGACTCAAATCTCCAGACAGATGTTCATGCTGAGTAGCCATGCCATTTTAATTTATAGAAAGCAAATTGGTCATCTTGCTTTGGTATTTACCAATGCACTTTTGGACCTGTGGAAGACAAGATTTTAAAGCACGCCCGTGCCATCTCAGCGCAGATTCTGGCTTTGCTCTTTTCTTTGATGATCTAACAGGTGAGCAATAAGTCAACAATAAGAGTATTCAACTGAGTGTATCACTAGAACGTGACAAGGTCCCCTTTCGTGAAAAGCTTCCACCACAGGGTCTTTGCCTGCAGGAGGGTAGAGTATGGATGTGACAGGACTTCTGTGTGATAGGCTGGTATCTGTGCAAACTCTGTAAGAAGATGGGAGACAGTGAAAGGACAATGCTCCTTTTATGTACTTGTGTGGTCATGGTCAATTTTAGATCCCTGCCTGCTGATTCATGCCATGTCACAGTTATTCTACTTTTGTCCACTAGGGACTGAACTAAGATCACTGTTATTTTATTTGTCATGTTAACTGACATTTGGTAGTTTTAGAGTTTCCAAACCTAGGATTGTAAATTAATCTTTCCATTACAAAGTTTCGGTGAAATTGATCATTATGTACAAATAGTAGCAAAGGGCATTTTGGTAGTCTTTTCATTATTACAGCTTAAATTCCAGACCCTACCTACAGTGATAGTTTACAATAAGTGTTTCTTTAACAAAACCTCTTTCCATAGTAAGTAGGTGAATTCTTTACTATTCTTTCATAGGCACTTATATACCATTTAATGAGAATTAATCATTATATACTCATCTTGATTTTTTAGTGGTTGGGGAGGTGATAATCTATGTCCCAAATGATTGAAATAAACTATTCTAGCAAACATGTGATCTGATATTTGCTTAAAAACGTACAATCAAAGGGTCGTTTAAAAGTAATGCACCCTTTATGTTCCTATGTTACGCAATGATTCATTCACGATAAACTAAATACATAATTTCACTGTTTAAAATATGCAAATATTTCAAAAAATATGCAAATATTTCACATTACGTTTTGTGAAATGACTTTTCTTCTTGTTCGCATAACTTCTGGTCAGTGATGCTAGTATCCTTGTAAGATAATAGCCAAAAATTATGATGAAATGTTCTTTGATTACCTTGACCCTTGAGAGAGTGAATCAAGCTAAATCTATGCTGAAAATGTCCTTGTTGGTATGAGTCAGACAGCTTGTCTTCACTGTTGTGTTTAGATTTGCATATCTTTTGTCATCATTGACATGATTGGTTAGAGCATCTAGACACCAAGTCAGTGGATCCAGTAAAGGGCTTGCTTTCCTAAGTTTCCTTCCATTTTAGACCTCTTCTCTCCACGCTCTAACTTTCATGTCATATACTCATCTTAAACAGTATTTTATATTTGATAATCCATATGAACATTATTTGTTTGTAATCATTTGGTAAACTTAATGAACTTCAACTTGAACTATTTACATTTGTATCCCCAGTAGTTGCCCTATGATTGAAAAGCAGAAACTAAGGCGAGCAGGTTATTGAAGTTCAATTAATTCATCCATCCATTTATTCAGCTAACTAATCAGAGGGCAGAGATGATTATGCAGCTTCTGTCATCCCCATGAGAAAATGTTTGATGCAGAATAACGGTGCTAGAAAAAGCTAGATGATAATTTATGTGAACTGGATTCATTTAAACATTTTCAACAGACACTGGGCACCACTAGAAGTCACTTTCTAACTTACAGCTTAGAATTTCATTTCCTAACATTTCTGACCTTGCTACTGACTGAGCTAGTTGACCAGCAAGGTGGTCAAGGGCCAAATGATGTATCAGTGACCTTCAGTGTTGCTATTGGTGTGGCACTGTCCTTTTGACTCTGTGGAAACTTGGTTAACAGCAACACGAAGGCTGATAGCATTCCCCTCACCTGTCAGATGGTGGACAGTCCGTGTAAGGAATATGCCCTAGGCCACATTTCATTGTGTGGAACACATGGGTTTTGTGTCTAGCGTTGACTCTCTTCTATCATAAAAACATAATAAAACCCCTGAATGAACAACTCTTAGCGTAGTGACAAAACAATAAAACTCCCTTCATGTTATGGGCACTTTCTTATGTTTCCTTCCAACCTCTCTTATGGAGACATGTCTTGAGTACTGTCTAGCCCACGTGATGCTCAGTGTTTCTTGAAAGAATAGCTTCCTCTCTGATCACTCAAAAATTCACACATATTTAACCTATTCAGATTTAAAAGGCATAATGTTCTGACATTTTGTCTTTATTAAATGCTGCCCTTTAAGTTTAATTAAAAACAAAACAAAACACCTCACTGCCGTCTGAGTCAATTCTGACTCAAAGCAACCGTATGGGCAGGGTAGAATTGCCCCTGTGGGTATCTGAAGCTGTAAATCTTCACCAAAGCAGAGAGCCTTACCTTCTCCCAAGGGAAGTCTGATGAATTTGAACTGCTGACCTTGTGGTAACCCACTACACCACCGGGGTGCCTTTTTTGATTAATTCAAATAAATGGAAAACATGCCTTATAACAGAGAATAAGGGTTCTGCCTACTATAAATATTTCCGGCTGTCTAAAGTCATGAGTTGAAGATTATTAGTAGAAAATGTAAATTACTGCTTAAGTGGTAAAAAAATTTTAACTGAATGACTGGCTTTTTTCCTGCTTTTTTTAAGCTGAAAATATCCTCTATTTACACACACACACACACACACACACACACACACACACACACACACATTTCTTCAGAGGGCTAAGATGTGGAATACTATTACCTGAAGCACATTCATGATTATGTTCTTTTTAAAACCCATATGGCACACATTAGTTCATATTATCATCCATTAGAATGTGGCCGTTATAATACCAACGGCCTTGCTTTTTCATCCATTGCTATATCCTCAGGCCCTACAGGACGACATGGTCCACAAGAGACATACAGTAAATATTTACTGACTGATCAGTGTATTATCTGTGGGTTACAATTTGCACATTACTGTCTACTCCACACATTTTCTTTGGGTGTGCACGTCACCTCCTCAAATGCATGGTAAAATGCCATGTTGTCAATGACTACATCTTATAATTATGTAAGCCCTGTCTAAAATGAATTAGGGGCAGAGTAGATGGTTATTGATCCAGGATCACAAAAATTTTTACCTTCTCTCTCTTCTATTATCTGGACTATTCTCCTGGGATGGCTTTATTACCAGTGTCTCCAGGAAACATGCTTACACTTCATCTCCCCCTTCCGGCTGAGTTCTCCAGGTATTACTGCTGCCGAGTGGACTCCAAACTCATGGAAGCATCTTGTGTAACAGAACAGATTTCTTACCTGGTCCTTCACTGTCTTCATGATCCCCCGGGTGTGCAAATCCACTGTTGTGACTATTGGGTCAATCCATCTCACCGAGGGGTTTCTTCACCTTCACTGATTCTCCGCTTTCCCAAGCAATTCCCCCCACCGCTGCCCAATGACCCAAAGTAAGTGAGCAGAGATGTTGCCAATCAGTCTTTTAAGCAGCATTCTTGTTGAGTTTCTTCAAAGACTGGTTGGTTGCTCTTGTGCTCTAACTGTATGTTCAATTTTCTTTCCGACATCACAATTTGATTGCATTATTGACTATGTGGTGTTAGTACTACATTTCCATGTTGTCCTGATATTGGTTGTTTAAATTGCTTGTTTTTTGATTGTGGATCCTTGTGTAGTGAATGTCTCACCCATTTTCGAATCAATGTAAATGCTTATAAGTGTCAGAGACTGAGAGAGACATCATCCCTGCATTATAATGAAAACAATTAAAAACATATGCTTAGGTGAGTGGTGCTAAGTATTAAAAAAGCAATTTAAGGGACCTTCTAGCTGCTTTCAGATGCTAATATATTCTTATCTGAATTGCATGAATAGATCTAGACCACAATTAAATATGTGAATAAAACAAATAACTATTCT